AAATCAATTTTTGTCGAATTCGGTCCAAAACGGTACAGGTGGCGCCATCTAGCGGCGAGCGGCGGAACTACGAAAAACTAAAATTTCGATTTTCTTCGAAATTAGGCATTTTTACGTATTTCTGAGGGTCAGAAATTGTTCTGCGACCTCTCTAGAACCTATATAATGCCACAAGAATCCCCTAAGAGCGCTAGAAAAGAAAATAGAAAAATAGCTCAAAACATGGACGAAAAAATTGGCGTCCATCTAGCGGTGAAAGTTGGAACTACAAAAACATAAAAATGCGATTTTCTCGAAAATTTGCGAACTTTGAGTACTTCTGAGGCTCAGAAAGTGTTATGTGATCGCATTAGAAGCAAAATAAAGCAATAAAAGTTTCCTGAAAGCTTTAATAAAGAAAATAAAAAAAATGTCATTTTATGGAGAAAAATTGTGGCGCCATCTGGCGGTGGAACTGCGAACTAAACTGAAAAACCGTATGTCCGAACACGCAGTAAAGGGGTCAAATAAAGATTGATTTTCTGAACTTAATAGGTCAAAAAATGACTAACTTATTCAACAAAAATTGCTTTAAAATGTCTAAGGAAGCATACTTCTTCGTCAAAGTTGCGAAATATTACTTTTTATGTTTTTCCTCAACGCGTGTACGGGCATACGGTTTTTCAGTTTAGTTCGCAGTTTCACCGCCAGATGGCGCCACAATTTTTCTCCATAAAATGATATTTTTTAAATTTTCTTTATTCAAGTTTTCAGGAAACTTTTATTGCTTTATTTCGCTTCTAATGCGATCAAATAACACTTTCTGAGCCTCACAAGTACTCAAAGTTCGCTAATATTCGAGAAAATCGCATTTTTATATTTTTGTAGTTCCAACTCTCACCGCTAGATGGACGCCAATTTTTTAGTCCATGTTTTGACCTTTTTTTAAATTTTCTTTTCTAGCGCTCTTAGGGGGTTCTTGCGGCATTATATAGGTTCTAGAGAGGTCACAGAACAATTTCTGACCCTCAGAAATACGTAAAATTGTCTGATTTCAGAGAAAATAGAAATTTTAGTTTTTCGTAGTTCCGCCGCTCGCCGCTAGATGGCGCCACTTGTACCGTTTTGAACCGAATTCGACAAAAATTGATTTTCTGGCTTTATTAGGCATCAAAACGCATCAAACCCTAATAGAAATTTGTTTCTAAATGCCTCAGGAACCATACTACGTCGTCAAAGTGCCGAAATATTGCACTTTGCATGCGCAGTAGAATTGACATAGGCGGCTCATGCACGTATCGCAATGCTGACACAAAATAATTAATTACTTATTACCCGAACATTATTTATGAACTTTTATGATCGAACCATGCAAATAGTGCATTGCTGGCCATTTTTCAATCATAAAAGTGCACAAAATATATCCACAAAACGTGCAATTAATTATTCAAAATGACCTCGTGTATACCGCTTGTCACCGTGGCTGGCCTTAGGTTATTAGTTAATAACTAATTAATTTCATTAAAAATCTGAAGAAATATCATACGAGAAAGTAGCTGAAGGATCACTGAACATTCTTTTATAATAAAAGTGCATATACTGTGCTCAGAAAGTGAGTAATTAATGATTTTGCATAGTCATTATCGTATACATATATTCCTCCTGCGCGCCGCCCTCGCATGCCACGGAGGAATAATCACCGAAAAACCATATCCCCGTAGACTTTATTGCAAAATTGAATTTGCTCGCGCTTATGTACTTGACTTTTAAACTTTTTTGTCCACGCTTTTCTCTTGCACCACTCAACCAATTCAACCGGATGACACGGTTGACTATTTTTGCTTTAGCGTGAAAACTCGCTCGCTCAAAATTGTTAAGTTAGGCGCGAAGCGCCTCAAACAGATCTAGTATATACCGTAGACAAAAATTGTGAATAAAGGAAACTTTATTCTTTATGAAAAGAAAAGGGGGTACTTTATGAGACAATTTCAGTTATCATCAAATTATCAAATTTCAATGTCTAGAAAAATCCCTAATTCCAAAATTACAGCAACTCAAACTGATGAATTTTTAAATTCTCAAATTATCAAAAATTTTAATGTTTAAATTCACAAATTACTGGACTTAAATAAATGATCACTGGGTATATGTTTGTAGGCTTTTTACCTAAATCAGGTATTATTACAGGTATTATCAGTTATTTTATTGAAAATTTAAATGAATAAGAAATATATAACATGTTTTATTCATTTGTGGGTAATAAATTAAATACAAGTACAATTAGTTACCATGACTTATTAAAATATACAAGATGATACTTTTGACTTTTGAGTATTTAAGGTTTCATGTATGAAATAAATGATTACATTTTTGTAAATGAAATATGAGTTTATTATTAATACTGTTACTTAATTAATTTTTTAAGTAATTAAAATAATATGTAAGAAATAATTCATGATTATTGATATATTTTTTTAGCATAAAAATGAAATGTAATTTATACATGTATATAAATGTAATTTCATGTGCTACTATTTACAAATGGTACAATGTCATTTATATGTGATATAATACATATTTTAAGATGTTTCCAACTTTAACATTGTGGTATAAGATGGTTATAAAAAAATAATCATCTTTTATAATCATTAGAATCACTATCTGATGTACTATCTTTTTTATGTTTCTTACGTTTCTTGTGCTTTGACTTTGTCTTTTTCTTTTTATGTTTATGTTTCTTGCTCTCATCATCAGAAACTTTAGATTCTGATTCGTCATCGCTTGATTCTGACTTCTTACGTTTCTTGGACTTTTTACTCTTTTTCTCCTTGTGTTTCTTCTTAGATTCTTGAAGCTTCTTTTTTAATTCCTTCTCGCGTAATTCAGTCAATGGAGTAACATAATTTTCATCACTATCGGAACTTGTACTACTAACATCTAAAACAATTTCTTTGTTTGGGTCAACCTTTATAAAATTACGGCATTGATATGTCAGATGTCCAGCATATCCACACTTTTTACATGCTGGACGCACATGCTCTTTATTTTGTGGAATCAATCTAGAAAGAAACTCTGGATCCATATCTATAAAAGCAAGCATAAAAATAAATAGCAATGATCATTGAAATTGTAGCAAAGTAATTAAATAATATAAAATAATTTCTTAAACACAACTATCATAAGGATTGCATAAATGTCTTCAAAAGTTATTAATATGTTCACAAACAATTATTAGTATTTTATTATCTATATTTACATCTGTTTTCAATGCAACAATAACCTTAACATACTAACCTCAAATCATCTACAACACTTAAGTACGTGCTCTCAAATTTCTCAAGCAATTATTTCTTTCTTGTTTCAAATGACTTTATATATGCATTTAGAATGTTAAAAGCATTTCTTAGTACTGTATTTACACTCAATTACATATCAAACTTTCCTAGGGAAAATAGCAGTCAAAAGAATTAGTTCCTACTACTCGTAACAACATTCGCGCATTAGTAAAAATCGATAAATAATAAGATTACTGTAAATACATGTTTATTTAAAAGTTGACTGTTTTATTTGTGCAATTTGCGTATTACAAATGATTCTGACTACTAGAAATCATTTTTATATCATTCTCGTCAGTAATATAGAGAATAACATTGGAATGATAAAAATGTTTCGTTCAAGTCGTCAAAAACTATTCTCACAGATGTTTTCTTTTCGAAAAAGGAGTTTATTTGCAAAATTTGATCCGAATAGGAACATGATGATATTCCGAAGTTTCCTGAAAACAATTATTAACAGATCTCTTGGCGATGGCTTTGGCGCGTAAAACCAGGAGTTATTTCCTCTGTTGAAAGCCAGAGGGCCTGATTAATAAACCAAAAATCTAGACCGCCAAAAAGGCAACACAGCTAACGTCATCTAATTATAAACCGTGAAACATAATAAAAACATAATAAAAAACATAATAAAAAATTGCGTTTTTTATTTTAAAAATCTTTTACGCTTTTCTGAAATACGTAAAATATTTTGGGACCACAGTGAAACTGGAAGAATTTCAACGCAATGCGTAATAGTGTTAAAAAAGAAAATAAAAATGTTGCATTTTGGGAACCTTAAAGTGCTCACCTAGCGGTAGAAAACTGAAACTATTGTAACTGAAGACTGCAGATGAATTTATGAAGCGCGCAATACCGCCATGCAGAGAGGGAGATGAAGAAAGCCGGCTAGCTATTTAAAACGCTGAAATTACTGATGGTATTTCATACATAATTGTTATAACGGACAGTAGTTGGATTGAAAGATTGTATAGAACAAATTATAATGCACTTTCTGGTGGTGGTACAATTGTAAGTTCTCGAACAAAGAGAATCCTCTTTCCTTTTATATGTAGTAGTATTGTACGTTATTTAGTTGTACGAAAAGATATGACCTTAAAATGTCATAAATATTACAAAAATTGTAATCATAATATAAATTTTGGTAGTATGGAAAATTGATGCTATTGCTAACTGCTGTAACTACAGTGTTTAATACGCACGGTTTTAACGTGCAAAATGGTTGTCGCCGTTGGTGATAGCAACATGTTTAATACTATTATAAATAATACGTCATATCAACACCAAGAGGTAACTGTTACAAAACTGAATGTATCGTAGATTAATAGTACTGTAACTACAAGACAAGTGTATAGGAAATACTATCTTTTATAATAGTGTATTACAAAGGTATATTAGGCTATATAAAAAAAATTTGTTTATTACAACATTATAAAATTTACATATACATAATTCATAACATACATTCATAAAATGAATTTCCAGTTTTTTTTTAAATAATGTCCATTCAATTTCCAAAGTTGCATTAACAAAAAATATACTTAATGTAACATAAATATGTATAATGTACATAATCTATTATAAACTAAAAAGTTGCACATTTTTTGGTATTATATTATGAGGCACATGACACTTACTTACTTGAATAAACTGACACAATATAATGATTTTTGCTATATTATATTTTAAACAATTTAAGTTTTCTAGTCAATAATTAAATAATTTGGTATGGTTTTTATATGCGACATATAGTTAGACACAACATCAATTTCACGTCTTTTTTTTATTTCATTGTTTAACAATGAATATTTGATTAATTATTTTATAATAAATATTATGAACAAATTGGAGCTTTATAGCAATAGTTTATAGATGAATTTGATCCATATTTCAATTTCTATGATTATGATTTATATAAGGGAAATGAGAAACTTTATTGTGAATTCATGGTCCTCAGAGTTTCAAGTGCAATAGTTTTTGATACTCGCATTCAAAATGTTATAAATTCACTCAAACTGTCATTGTACAAGTTGTCTACCAAAAATTACAATCATTTAAAGTTCTTAGAACCAAATAAGATTACTTATTTTGATTCTAATTACTTCAAAATAAAAATAAATTTTAGTTATTTTAAAATGAAAGACTCCAATTGCTTTAGAATCAAGTAACTGAGATATTTGAATCAAATCTAATAGTAATTAGATTTTCCAGATTACCAATTATCTACATTATACTCTTGCAAAATAACAGCTCTTATAAGTTTATATACATGTGAATATATTATATGCAAATTACCTGAATTACATACAAGTAAAATATGCATGAATATTAGTATAAGTTTATAATAACCAAAGTTAACAATCAATTCATAAGTTAATTACATAGAAGTATGATGTGCAACATAGATATGTTATAGTACCTTAATTAAGCTTTTATATTTAGCTCTCTTTAAAAATATCAAGACTAATAAGAGAACAAATTATTTTATAATTGTAACTATGTAATCTTCCAAAGAATACAACAAAACTGATTTAAATTATTTTGTTTTATATGTATAATAATAATCAAAAAATAGGAAGAATATTATAATCTACTTTTAGGATATAAGGAATATTTATAGTCCACATTTATATACTATTTCTGCTTTCATGTATTATAATACATCTATTTTCTCATCTACTATTGAAATATGCAGAAATAATAACTGACTTACATTATAATTAACATATTCATCAGTATGTTCTGCATAGCATCTATTTATAATGGTGTTTCCTTTATACCACTTGGTTTCAAATGCAATTATAAAATCAATAAAATCTCTACTTGGTATCAATTCATATATTTGTTTTGAATCTTGTGATAAATATTAAAGAAGTAATTAAATGATTAAATGAATTAATATCAGTAGTTTCAGTTAGCTATTTGTAATTTTGTTAACAGTGTATTAGAATACTATACCTAAGAGATACATGATTATTATTTAGTATTAATGTCAAGACATTCATTAAAAGTATGCAATAACATAGAGTACAAATATTGCTTAAATCAATAATATGTTAAGATTAATTAAAACAGAACAAAATGACAACTGTGTACAACAAAATCAAATAATAATTTTCTTATAAATAAATAAATACATTAGAATAGAATTCCAAAAGGATACTGTATCAACGTATATTTTTGGACGGACACTGCATAAATTGTAAGTGCATTTGAGAAGAAAATGCCATTATGTTTAAACGTAGACTTTAAGAGATATGCTTATAATTTTTATGACAAGCGATATGAATTAGCATGCAGTGCCTGTCAATTATTTTCATACTTATGCTTATATATCAGTGACTAGTATTAGCTGTGAATTGATGCATTCTTAAATGCTCACATTCTTACATACAATTCATACGCATAAAAAGACCACACGTATATATATACGTTATATAAATGGGTAGTATGGTTACTTAATATGCTTATTTTATAATAGACTATGTCTACAGATAAAATATAATTTTAATGATCTAAATAAAAATTTGGCAAATATAAATATGTTCTGTTACATAGAAGTACATTACAATTATAAGAATTCATTGATAGATATAAATTATAGTAGCGAGGATAAGTTGGTTAACTGTAACAAAAAATACAGTGTTTAATAATATTCTTGAACAAAATTAATAAATCAGTTCAAGTTGAAGTAATTATAACAGGACGTACTTTGATGCATTAATGAAATGTATAATTCCTTTCTGTAGACAATATATCTTATGTAATATCTGCACATACATTTATGAATTTGTTATTTATATCGCTAGGGTCTTTGTTTTCAATGAAACATAAGTTTCACATATATATAATCGGTATATAATTGAAATGAACAAGTACAGATTATTTGTCCAATTTTACCAACATTATTTACTTTATTAACTGATCAAGATTATGTTCTTATTACATTTATGTTAATGAAGTAGATATTTTTGATTTTTCTCATTATAATATCCTGAACAAATAAAAGTATATACTTAATAAGTTGAAATAAATCTATATCTACACTAGATAATAGTATGTAATGTTTCATTGACTTTAGTCGAAGAAACTGATAAAATTGGACAATGGACAAATTGCATCAAAACTTACAACAACTTGTTGTAAAAAGAAAGTGTACAATAAAAAAGTAGCTGGAAAAGTAGTTATAATAAACATTTTCCTGGTCCCATTTCTCAAGCATTATCAACATCAGCATTTCTTATCCCTTGTTTCTTTAGATTTTTGACATCTATACAATTTAAATACCAAAAACGTTCAATGAAGTCACCATAGCCAATGTTTGTACTCGTATTTAAACTCAGAGAGTTTCCATTCAGCTGGTCCTTTCATTGACAGTTTTAAATTTTGGACGCATCTTATGTAAATAAAGCAAATTTTCAGTTACATTTTTTATTATTTGAGAAATATTTGTGAGATATTACAAAAACTAATATAAAAAAATTAGCATAATAATATTATCATTCATACCTTTTTTTACTCTTCTCTTTAAAATTAACAGTTGAGTTTGTAATTTTTTGACTGAGAATAAACTGTTTTAAAAGTAGAGAAAAAAGTTTAAAAATTACTGGATCCGTACAAGATTTAAAACTGTAACATACACTTACTCCTCATTACTGAATTATCATACCTAAAAGTGTGATCACAGATTGACAGAAGGCATGTAACATACAATATATTATAGGTACAGTTAGAAAATACTTCATTGCTGTAATTATCAATTAATAAAAAATTATAAGATGAATTATGTATAAGCTATATATATATCGAATGATTTTTCTTTTGCAACATGTTTAAAGTGACCCATTATAAAAAAGTATATGTAATAATGTTAAAACAGTTTCACCAGTAAAATTATAAACATTACATTTTTTTACTTTGTAACTTAATTATTTAGGGTCCAGATGATGTTTTCAATTTGTTTTATTATCACTGAAATGAGTAAATTTGTTTTAGAGAATAACAAAAAAAAAGTGCAAGCAGGTAAATGCAAATAGCTTTTTGCAAAACTTCTCACTGATATAAACATGTTTAAACTATCTATCATATATGGACGAGTAACATGTAAATTTCTGTTTTTTATTTTTGATTATAATATTGAAATCGTATAGTATGTATAATCAATCTTGTTAATAGCATTCAACGTCATTTTTAACTTCTAATTGAAATTAAAATTTTACTAAATGTGATATCAAGTTTCAGTCACATTTTTCACATTGAACAAGAATATCCATTAATTTCCTAGAGCATTAATGTATCTATGTTAGAATGGAGTTCATTTATAGCCTTCTAATGCATTTCTCATTACAATATTTCTGAGCTTCTATGTTGTTTTTTGATTCTTTCAAAGGTGTTTCTATTCTTAAACAGTCTTCATCGTAAGATTTTTGTAAATAAAATTAACAAAAATCTATAATATTGTAGACTACATGCGCAATAACTTGTTCAATAATTCTGAAACACCGTACAATGTTCAAGAACATATATGTAAAGAATACAATTTAGTTTCTACACAATTGGCTATCATATTTTTATCACCATAGAAGTTGATTCAAAAAAGTGTATATAAGTATTATTTATTCCATGATTTTTTGAAAAATCTTGTCAAATTTTTTATTTAGTTGTAGCAAAACGAGGAATTGAAAATATACTCTTCTGTAGCAAAATAGTAGCATGGAAAAATATTGTTAACACTAACATATTAGACTGTATGACATTGTTAAATAGGCTTGTTTTACTTTCCGTTTGTGTGTTAAAGTTGTTCAAATATAGATTTTAACTTTGAGGTAACATATTCATTGTAAATGTTAGAATATAAAAGTTTCATAGTATATTTAGAAATACAAAGGTGATATAATTGTTACAGATGTGTAGTTCAAAATTATGATTTAGGTTGTATCAATTAGATCTTTTTTCTCTATATTTTAATAATTTAAATCAGAGATGCAAAAATAACATAATACTTTGTTGGATGGATCTTCAATGAGCATTTCTAAAACAAATCTCTTGCAACTTATATTTATCATATTTTTTATATTTCTTAATAATTGTGTGCTTTTAATACAGTATTAAGGAGAAAATAATGAAACTTATATACTCAAGTTATGAAATTGTTTGTTAACATTCCATTTAAATTTTTATATACAAACAATAACAAAATACAAAATAGTTTCTATTGAAAAATAGAGATTTTGCTTGTCAGTTTCATATATGAAATTAAACAACTGTACTTTATATATTAATATAGTGTTCTCATTTTGGCATAAAAACTAAAATTCAGCTGAATCACAAAGTTGTCCAACGAGCAACCATGACAAATGTTTTGTTAGATATGTATCATCATAAAACAATTTGTAGCAAGAATATAAATAATACAAACAAAATGTAGATACAGAGTATGATTTTCAATGGACGGTGATTGCCTGTTTCAGTGTCAATTAGAATTCCTTACATATTTTCCTTCGATGCTTTAAAAGACAATACACTGAAAACAGAAGCATAAATTATGCAAAGACTCATTAGTGCCAGAGTTGGTAGTAGCCATACTATTTTTCTGTTATAGATATCTTAAACGACAGATTCAATAAACCATCATTAAAACATTTATTAAAATTGAAGGTATAATAGTACTATGGCAGTTAATCTACAAAACAGAAAGATACTGAAGTATATTTATCAGTAAATCATGAAGGTGAATATGAGGTGTACACTGAAGGTTATAAGTTATTGTATTTTGTAGTGCCATTCATTAATCTGAGTATTTATGTATGGGAAGCACCGCCATAGTACCATTATAAATACTTGTATCAAACCTAAATCTCTGGTATATTATTGCTAAAATATCTATATAAAATAATTAACTATTTAATGTATTCTGGGTTGAACAAATATAACCTTAAAGAACAAAGAATTCGACTAATCATGGAAGCATCTCAGAGAAGAGGTAGCTGAATAAAAAGGAACTCAAAATGGAGAAAGAAGGTTTTACTGGACGGCGATCGTTAGCGTGGACGAGGATGTAATTTTGTACAAGTACAATTTTGATCGTCAACCTTAAGTTTAACCTTCCGTTACCCGCGCGTTGTACTTTTTAGCAATACACTTAAATTCTGTTTTTCTGAAACTTCCACCTGTTCGTTCTACTTGATTTTTTCAACTTAAGAATTCCCACCAGGGTCGCCACCTTATTACGATATAAAACACGAAGTGTCATAATACGTAATCCGGAGATTACAGAACGAAAGAGAAAAAGAATAAGATTTTTCTTCTTTTTACTTGTTAGCCTTGCAATAAAACAGAAGTCCGGAGATTAGTATTAAAAGAGAAACACTTCTGGACTAAAATCGAAGGAGGTGGCGACCATATTTTCCAAGGATGTGTCCTGTTCTGAACCGCTGAACGAAAAGAATACGTTTGGGTAATAAGTACGTTTTAAAACATCACGGGTAATGAAACGCTAAAGCTCATAAACGTCGCGTCCGTTTGGTCTACTAACGGGGGGTCGATATGACCCCGGACTCGCATAGGACTGGATAATGTGAACCTTAAAGCGTACATCGCTTGCGTTTCTTCCTGCCTCGCCTCGTGTTCTCCTCGAGAAGCTCACGGTAGTTTTACAGCAACAATAATGGAAAAGCTTCACGTAGGCATTGCGAAAATGGCGGTCTGCCACGCAGTACACTAGATTATTGAAGCAAGACTTGGAAAGAGCGAACCAGGCTAAATTGTAAAGAACACGGGCGCTTATGGGTCGAAAGGAATTCACGCAAACGGCTATGCCGAATGGTAACCAAAATATCACGAACATCACGCAGCTGTACATATTAGCCTTGCAGAGCTCGTAGTCCCAGGAGAAGGTGATCGGTGGCTTGTAGGAACCCCTCGTCGCATGCCGGACGCGAATCACCAGTTTCACGTACAAAAAGGTCGTTATCAATGCTGGCAAACCGACTAGAAGAGTAGCTCCAATTATTTGCTCCATGGCTATTCCGCTGAATCGACGTCGACAGAAGTCCGGTCCTACATCCAAGGATGACTGCAGGACCACCGTCATTATGGATATCAACCAGACACCAATGATCGTTGCTGTTACACGACTAGGTGTCAAAGAGGCATATCTGAAAATATGAACGTGATAACCTTTAACTGAGTAATATACAGGATAACAAAAAAGATCTGATACTTATAGGACTTGTAGTACTTACCAGATGTTAATATCTAACCAATTTAGGTTTTAAGACTAACTTTTTCTTTGTAAAATCAAGTTTCATTGTTTAATGTTTTACTTCATGGTTGTATCATTTTGCTTCTGACACAAAGTAATATTAGTTCATTGTTATACAAGATTCACAAGTTATACAAGCTCATTGTTATATAAGATTATATTGTTATATTACAGGTGGCATGGAAAGACTTTAAAATGTATATTGAAACATATGTGCAAAGTGTATGTAATAGTGGAACGTTAACGTGAATATCTGTAATTGTGTCTATGAAATGTATAAACTATGTTGCGAAGAAAACCAGTTATGTGATATGGAACAGTAATAAGTAGTTTTTGTTGATATTTGTACATAATCTTGTGATTAAAACTCTGAACTAATTTTCTTTATGTTAGAAGCAAATATGATACTACTATGTACTGTAATGTCATTAAATAGTAAGAAAGAAAGAGTTAGTCTTAGGACCCAGGATTGTTTTTTGTATCTCAAGAGTGGTACTATAAGTCCTATAACTATTGGACCTATTTTTTATCACACTGTATAGAGTATGGATATGCAGCAAAGTCCTTCTTTGAGCACAGTAATCTAATATAAAGGTTTACAAAGTAGTCAATGAATTTTGAACTGCATTATGTATCAAAATATGTACTGTGATATTTTCCATTAAATTGCACCTATCCTCTTCCTGTTAATAAATGTGTTACAAGCAAGTACTTTTATTTCATTTTGAAAATGAGATTCTAGAATTTGTTACAACTTACTAATCTTATTTTATAAGGCCTCTATAGGCTTATATCTATTATATGTAGTGTTACCCTGTGTAATTATCTACTTAAGGTGGATTTCCCTATTTGATTTATACAGATAACCCTCTTCCATAATATAGTCCATAATTATTTCTGCTATATTATTGGTATCTGGCAAACCCTGTGAGAAAGTGTGGGCATTAAAGTCCCCTTTAATTAAGATATTTTTTCACCATTTCTAGCTACTTTTTTATGTACACCTGTGACAACTTCTCAGTAATTATTTAAATTTATTAATCAGTAATAATATCATATGATCATGGTGTAATGTCTACCATTATCTTTATATCTTATCCATGGATCCTAAGTACATCTTCCTAAAATAAAATACCAGCAGCAATCACCACCAAGTCAAGTTTACAATTGCAACTTTAAATTTTAGTTGTCTCCATATTTTTGATTAATAAGTCTAATACCTATTTGGAATTATTCACATTAATCCAGATGTATTTGACATCTGTTTTGCATTCTTTATTCCATAATTTGAGTAGTTACATTGTTCAAATCCTCAACTGCACAGTTTAATCTGATACAATCTCTTTCAGCCCTCTTGAGACCTTGATCTAGTTGTGTTATCATCTTCTCACTGTCCCTGTCTTCTTTATCCTTTATTCTCTTTGTTCCCTCTTTCAGCTCCACTTCTCCCTCTACATCTTATTTCTATTCTTCCTTACATCATTTCTATTTATTCCTCTTTTACGTTTATTCGTGGAGTGCCCAAAGTTGTTGCACCTCCAATTGAAATATTAATTTTGGAGCTCGTATTAACTCCAGCCAATACTCATCCAAGTTTTATCTTTTTTCCAGGGCTTTCTCTGCGGCAACTGCTGGAATTTTAACCCATGCTGTCTGCGTTTGGCCAATCTCGGTAAGTACCCGCAGAATTTCTAGCTGGTCCGCTTCCTCATCCGGGACATCAGTTCCTTTATGATTCTTAGCCTTATCTCGTCTTCGCTTATCAATGGGTCGATATCCCCTATCTTAGCCCTTCCCAATCTTCCCATAGTTTCTTTTCCCATAGTATCCTCTTCAACCAATTCTTTGCGTGTTCCTTCCCCAGGATGTCACCCTTTCTTTACCTTCCTAAAATCAATCCCCTGCGGCGATTTTTCTTTTTCTTCGCGCTCACGAAATGCCTGCGCATAATCCACGCCAGGATCCTGACTAATGCCGCCGTTTATGTCCCTTGGTCTCGGTGTTACTCGCAGCGTTCCTAATTACTGTACTTTTGACTTCATTTATCACGTTCATTTTCCTTCTAACCACTATTGTCCAAAAGGAATTACTCGCTTTCCTTGTGGCTATCGACCTATATTCTGCCCCTCATCGTTTCTTTACTCGTCCACTGTCCTCGGCAGGTTCAGCATCTTCTGTGTTTATGGCTCCATTCGTTTCTCTACCTATCCTTTCCAGTGCCTCTTCGATTTTCCACAAATTCTCCCTGCATATCTTTTCCTTATAGTCTAATAAGGCTCGCAATCCACTTTTTCTGTCATATAGTCTAATAAGGCTCGCAATCTACTTTTTCTGTTATACAAGGCTTGACGCAATTCTTGCCCCAGTTGTAGACTATAACATTCTTTTCTTCCACAGATTGTAAAGTACTGTAGCTTGTTCTATCCTTGCGAACTCTCAGCTAACATTTGGCTCATCCTATAGGATTCTAATACAGTGGTGCACATTTAGTGGTCGCCAGACAGGACCAGAACCAAACCACAAACCATGCATGCGCTTTTACATCAGAAATCGTTCGGTTTCACGAACTTGCGCGCTGCCGGCCTGTGTTTGTTGATGAAGGGAGAAAGATGCGAGGGGAGTGCGTCACTTTGAGCTACCAGTTCCAAAAATTGATCACTCTCGACTACTATGGGAACTACCGACTAAGCGTGCACTATTGTTCTGTTTTCCTGCATGTCTGTTTCTATAGAATTATTCTATAGAATTATTATGTTCATATAGAATTATTCATATACTTGTTTAAATACGTTCCATATTTATATAATTCGTGTTACTTTTAGTTGTATAATTTGTGTTATTTTTACTTGTATAGTTCCTCTTATTTTTAGTTGTATAATTCATGTTATTTTTAGTTGTGTTTTGTGTCATTCTTAGCTGTATAATTCGTGTCATTTTTAACTGTTATAATTTGTGTCATTCTAAATTCGTGTCATTCTTAGTTGTCTCCTGCCATTAATTGTATAACTCGCGTTTTTGCTCTTACAGCTCCAGTATTTTCCCAACCTTCTTGTTTATGCTCCTACAGTCTCTTCTTCAGTAATCCCCTCAGTCCTGTACTACTAATCTGCTATTCCTTCTCGACAGTGCTTCGCTCCGGGAGTCCACATTGTCCACTTCATGTTGTAATTATGTTGTAATGAGGTCTGGCAGTCCTCGTAGCTCTTTAACAGCATCTTCCGAGTACTTCAGTCTATTAGGTCAACTGAAAAGATTCTTCAAACTAACATTTTCATCTGTTAATACCGAACAGTAATAATGATCTCTTTCCAGTGTGGACGCAGTTTCTAAAGAATGATCGGAGCAGTGACATCGGACAACTTTCCGGTATGCTTAATATCAAAGGGTCTTACAGAGTTCACTTTCTTCTGCTCTTAACATAACGTTTCCACCCCTGTCGAGTCTAGATTCATTCCCAGTCAATTTTTCACTTCGTTTTTTCGCCGAGGGGGACTTCTGTCTGTTACTGTTTCTCTGTTTTCACTTTTATCGTCGTCTTTCTTTCGCTTTTGAGTGCCGTCTTTCTTCCTGATCCCTGCGTCATCCTTTCACGCATCCTCCATTGTTGTTCTCTGTCCTCCATTATCTGCGTTTGCACGCTCCCCGCTGTTTCTGTCTTGCATTTTCTACCCGAGGTGACCATGATCACGATACGTGAAATTCGACCGGTTCACTTCGTCAGCACTTTCTCAATATAATCTAAGTTCTAGCATGCTCTTGCCAGCATGCTTATATTTTGAATTTAGTAGTTACGATAGTAGTTGCGACATTTACTGCTCTTTAGACCTACACAATTTTTCTACGTATGCATTAAATACATGGCTGTTTTCAACAGGACGATTCTAAGCGAGAATCGTGAAATTCTGCATAATGCAACCCATATGTTAAATACTCCACCGCTCAGACATAAACCTCGTTGAAAATTTATGAACTGAAATCGATTATACAGGGTGTTTCAAAAGTAATTCAGTGAATGGTATACCCTATGTCTAGTAACAATTTTTTTAGTATAAACGCATGTTCGATTATCAAGATGTGTGAAGCGACAGCCATGTAATCAATAATCTCATGCATGGACTATGAAGAACTTTATATTTTTAGTGGCATGAATTTTGCAAGTAATAATGAATGCAAGAGTGATTTTGTCATTTACTGATCATTCATGAATTGGTTATTCATGGCATAAATAATATTGTCTTTGTAAAAGAATACAAAGATGAATACAAATATCTGAGAAGATCTGCATTATGATGATAAAGAATGTATTTAAGTCAAATTTTGAAACAATTGAATTACTGTAAACTATTCTTATGTTTTGTATTATTTAAGTATTCATTGATCAATTCATTGATCAATTACCAACAATTAAAATCTGAAAATGTCAAGATCCAAACGTCCCAAAATTCGAAAGTTTCAAAATTGCAGTATGTCACCTTGTGAGACTTCCAAATCCCAAAATCCACAAAATATATAATAGGCGAGTTTGTGAATTTCAGATAAGGACATAAAAAATATGTAGTACCATATCTTCCATTTTCCCCGAACTTTTATCGCTTCCCTACTTCGCACAAGAGTTCACACTTCAGTTAGAGTAGAGTTCAATGGTTGGAAATCACTTTACGTATTATCTGTGTTTATGTTCTGGATCAGTGATCAGCCAATCAGATTTTAATTGGCTAGCTGATCAAGTACTTTTTTTTCATTAATCAGCTAACCAATTAAAATCTAATTGTTTAATTATTGATCCAGAACGTGAGCACGAATACTGCATAGGCAGATTTCACACACACCGCGTATTGCAGCGTCTTTTAAACCCTGGAAAAGGTAGACGCAACGTTGATGGAACGTCGGAAGCATTTTCCTTACACCTCAAAGACTCAACCTCTAATTAAATCGACCTTTTTCGACAGTTATGTTACTCAGAGTTAATTATGCAATATTAGCAAAAATGAAGGAAATTGAAATGTCAGATGTATTTTAAGGGCGGAATCTTTAATCGTGCAAATTTAACTCAAGATTTGGTCATAGTGTAAATGTGATATATTTTTGTTATATTTGAACTGTAATATCACGAGCATGGCTCGGTGTCATAAGCCAAGGGATTAGGAGCACTAATTATACTCTGGACCGCGAGAGTCTCAAGTTAATTCGGTAATTTCAAGAGGTTAATTCTTTCTGCAAATTGAAGACGCTAAATAAAAATTTAACATTGACACAGGGAAAACTGAATATGATGAAACACGTTATAAAGATCATTAGCCCCGTATGATTAGTTTGTCAGGTCAGAAGTAACTATTAACTGCAATAGTATTAAAATCGTTAAAGAAAGTCAGATATGACTATTTTGTATTCAAAGGTTTGACTATACAAATTATAATTAGACTTGAACTTCAAATTGAAATATATTAAATATTCGAGCAAGATTTGTCGTATTTGAACCGTAAGTGCGTTACGAGTCAGCTCGTCGAAGTACTACAAAGAGTTAATGACAGAGTTACTTAATCTTTTAATCGGTTAGTGTATACAGGGTGTTACAATTAGTGTAGATCCTTGAAATGGGGTGTAGCTGATGTGATTCTGAATAAGATTTCCCTTTACAAAAATGGGGTATGAAGCTTCGTGTTTGAATTATTAAAAGAAAAACACGGACCAATCATAGCGCGAAGATCACACATGCGCAGACGCGAGAGCGACAGCTTCGGATAACGCGTAGTTATCCAACGCGCAGTTATCCAACGCGTAGTAATGCAACGCGTGGTAATCCTACGCGTA